GTCACTGGTTTGCAACAGTTTGACTCTCTGGTCAGGGCACATGCTGGGGTTTTTTTGTTTTTTGTTTTGTTTCTCTCTCTCTCTCTCTCTCTCTCTCTCACTCACTCACTCTCAAAAAAAGGACACAGAACTCAATAGCGATTCTGCTTAAAGTAGACCAGAAACCTTGAAAGTCAAATTTCTCATTAACCAGCAAGCAATTCTCTAATATTTATCTAAATTCTTCCTTCCCTCTCTCCCTTTTTTCCTTCTCCCTCAAATTCATTCATTCACTCCTTGGTGGTTTTGGCTTTATTTTTATAGGACATATGAAAATAGTAGGTTCACTCTTCCTTGGTGTGAGGGCATTTTTGAGGCATTCCTATCCCTTTGTCAGGAATATTCTCATGTTTTTTCTGCTGGTCACCTTTCTACCCCTCCATCCTTCTAATTCAGCATTTCTCAGTTTCTTACATCTAAAAGGAGCAGTGTGGCCCTAACCGGTTTTGCTCTATGGATAGAGTGTAGGCCTCTGGACCGAAGGGTCCCAGGTTCGATTCTGGTCGAGGGCACATGTCCGGGTTGCGGGCTCGATCCCCAGTAGGGGGTGTGCAGGAGGCAGCCAATCAGTGATTCTCTCTCATCATTGATGTTTCTAACTCTCTCTCCCTCTCCCTTCCTCTCTGAAATCAGTAAATATATGTATATATTAAAAAATAAATAAATAAAAGGAGCAGCGTGCTGTGACCCTAACCTACAGCTTTCAGCAGCTCTGAATCCGCTCCTTTTCCGAAGTGCTTCTGTCCAGTCTCCTTCCCTGTGCCTTTCTCCTCCTCCCGCAGTCCGCTCACCTCTGTCCTTGTCACCCTCACAGGCGGGAACTCAGGGGAGCCTGGAGCTGGAGTTCCACGGAGACGATGGAGCCACCAGCACCCTGGGTTCCTAATCTTCCTACTCCTCATGTTGGACACACATCCCTTTTCCCCCTTGAAATTCCCTCTTTCTTTCGCTTTTTCTTTCTTTTTTAAATCGAGGTAAAATTTACATAGCATAAAATTAACCACTTTTAAGTATGCAATTTTGTGGTGTTTATACATTTGCAATGTTATGCAACTATCACCTCTGTCTAGTTCCAAGCCATTTCATCACCCCAAAAGGAAACCCTGTATTCATCAAGCACTCGGCCCTCATTTTCCCTCTCCCTCAAAACCACCCATTTGCTTTTTATCTCTGTGGGTTTTCCCTCTGCTCCATGTTTCATATAAATGGATTCATACAGTGCGTGGCCTTTTGTGTCTGGGGAACTACCCTTTAATTGTCCTGAGAGCCTGGGCTCCCTTAGCTCCTGGGTACACACAAAAACTCCTAGAAGAGGCATTAGGAACCACGGCCTTAGTTTATTTTTGACCGTGATGCTAGGCCACAGTTTCAACATTCAGAGTTTTCTGGGTTTGGTTTTGTTTTTCCTATTTTGTGGTTTCTTTCGTTTTGCTTTTTGCCCTCTCTTGCTTAGGCCTGCCAGGGCTGAGGAACCTTTTTTCTGCCAAGGGCCATTTGGATATATATAACATCATTCCTGGGCCCTACAAAATTACCAGCTGAAAAATTAACCCTCTATTTTGGTCAAACATTTAATTAACTCACCTCTAATGCCTTAGCAGGGCCAGACCACATGATTTCTTGGGCCTATACGGCCCGTGGGCCGGACATTCCCTACGCCTGGTCTCAGACCAGCAGAGTAAATGGCTGTCTCTGTAGGCTCAGGTTGTTATTTCTGGATTTGAGCTTCTACTTCCCCCAAATACCCTCTCCCACTGACCTTGTGATGTGGATGGAGAAACCCACTGTAGTTACCTCCTTCCCCTCCATCCCAAGGTACCCAGTGAAGTTTACCACAAAAGGTCATCACAGGCCTTTGCACATTCTTTATTTGCTTTCAAAAGAACCTGCCTTTTTAAATAACAGGAATAATCTGCATTTGCACTTGAAAACAAACTTATTTAGCTTTACGAAATTTATTTAGACACTGCATAATCTGTATTTCAAGTTTGTGATGAATTAGAAGGCAGATATTAAATTATTATAGAAGAGTGTTTTCCAGTATTTCCTTTTATTGCTAAAAACCATTAAGAACTGTAAGAAATACACTTTTTCTTGTGACACAATAGCTGTGTGTGTGTGTGTGTGTGTGTGTTCAATAAATATGCATGGACAATCATATTATATATACAGATATACTCAATTTTACCACATACTGTGCAACCTGATATTTCCTACACTATTCTATTTTTTTAAATGCTTGTTACAACTCTGTAAATTGATTTCATAACCACTGTGAAGTTTTTACCATCTTTTTTTTCTTACTTTTATTAATTCTCACCCAAGGATATTTTTCCATTGATTTTTTAGAGAGAGTGGAAGGGAGGGAGAGAGACAGAAAAAGAGAAACATCAATATGAGACACATCAATTGGTTGCCTTCCACTCGCTCCCCAACCAGGGCCTGGGATTGAGCCTGCAACCGAGCCTACAACCGAGGTACGAGCCCTGGACCGAATCCAAGACCCTTCAGTCTGAGGGCTGAAGCTCTATCCACTGAGCCAAACTAGCTAGGACTCTACCATTTTTTAAAACCTAGCACAGCATGTACAATGAATTGTCCCCGGTTAGCAGAATGGAAGGCCTTATTTGCTTTGAGAGAAAAATTCTCTCTTCCAGGAAGTGTTGTTAATGATTGTTTCTCTCATATCTGGAACCTAATTTGCTTGAGTTCAGGTTTACAAAGTGCAGTAGCACTTGGGTGGGGTTGGAGCTGGAGACAGCGTGATATCAGGAGAAAATGATGATTATGACCAACGTTTACTGTAAATTCATTTTCATTTTAACTGGAGGTTTTGGAGAGCAGAGAGCAACACTCCCAGGACACTGAGCTCAGGACCTGTAAGTTTGGGTGAGCACTGGCCTAGGGAAACGTGGACCACGGGGGAATCTGAGTAGTTCCCAGAGAGGCCAGATAGTGTCTTGGCCCCTGTGTCAGGCCCTGGCCTCCCGGAGGCTCCAGGCAAGGGCCCCCCACACTTCCCTTCTGTCATCTTTGCACCCCCCTCAGGTCTTGGGTACAGTGACATTTACATTTTCCCTTTGTCTTTACTTTGCGCTTCCCTGTCACTCCTCTCGCCCAGCTTCCTCCTAGGTTTGCTCTCCTGTGCTCCCAGCTGAGTGGGATGTGGGATGGGAAGGATGCGACCTCTGATACTGGCAACCTCTTACCTGCACGGCAGTGTTTACCCACTTCTTCCTTCAGTTCTGCCTTTTCCACAGCCAGGATTTTTGTTCCCTTTCTGCTCTGGCTTCTACTCCATCTTGAGCAATATTTTAAAGATTTGTTTTTCTGTTTTGTTCTTGAATGTCTCTCTACGACATCTGTCCTGTCTGTGAGGGCTGGGCTGTTGGTATGTGGTCGGTGGGCAGCAAGGGTCAACAGGACTCCTGAGTTCTCCAGCAACAGCTGTGGGCATCATTCACTTAAGTTACACGTTCACATGGCCATGTACCCCCTGCTGTTGTTAAAAGGATGGGCAGGTTCATTCGTTGGGTGAAATTCTTAAAAAAAAAAAAAAAGTACTCTTTTAGGAGGAGGTCCTGAATTCACAAGTTGTTTTTTGTTTGTTTGTTTGTTTTAAAGAGACTGGGTAGTGTGGTGTGGTTCAAAGGGATGAGCGTTGGAGCCAGGCAGATCTACATTAAAATCCTGGCTCCTCCACTTACTAGCTGTGACTTTGGATGAGTTACTCAGCCTTTCTGTGCCTCCGTGTTGTCCATAAAGTGAGAGTTATAATGCTCATGTAAGAATGTTAGCGTTACATGAGGGGAGGTAAGTGAAGTGCCAGGCACACAGTAGGTGCTCAACAAATGTGAAGTGTTTTTCAGACACCAGTTCCTCCATATTCCAAGAAAAGCCTTAGGAGTTGCTATCAAATTCTCTAAATGTACAACTGTGTTCACACAAATGTTCAAGAACCTCTCCCCCTTCGAAACAAAAGAAAAATGAAAGCAAAAACCCTTGTCCTTAGATTCCAGTGACAAGTAAATATGCAAAAAAAAAAAAGTTTGGGTTTTACATGTACTTTTTATTATAAAATTTTCAAAGATACCCAAAAATAAACAGTGTAATTACCGTTCATATCTTGTTTGTCTATACTCTTGCGTTTCTTCTCCACAAACTGGACAAATTTTAAAGCAAATGCCAGACATATCCTTTCATCTACAAATATATCAGTATATATTCTTAGAGATATTGCCTCCTTTTTTTCACATCACCACGGTACTATTATAACACCTACAAAACTGAACAATTTCTTAACATCATGTACTGTTCAGTCAATGTTCAAATTTCACTGATTGTCTCATAAGTACCTTCTTTACAGTTGGTTTATTTGAATCAGGATCCAACAAGGCCTTCTACTGCACTTGGTTGATATGTCTCTGAAATCTCTTTTAATCTGTAACTGTTTCCCCTCTCCTCCTTTTTTATTTCTATTTATTTGTCAAATAACTGGGTCATGTCTTATAGACTCTCCTACATGCTGGATCTGGCCAGCTGCATCTTGTAGGATTGCTTCATAGGCTCATATGTCCCCTGCACTTTTTTTTAATATGGTCGGTACATTTAGAAACTAATCAAATTCAGGTCTGGTTTATGCAAGCGTACCTCAGCAGTGGTGCTCTGTACTTCCTATTACATCACCTCCAGGTGTGTTCTCCCTCTCTCTCTCTCTCTCTCTTTCTCTCTCTCTAGATCTTAACATTGCCCAGTGGATTCAGTATTGTCAGCTTGATCCAGCCAAAAGTTCTTCACCCTTCCACCTAACAGTTTTAGCAAGCACTGGTGATCACTGAGCTAAATTCATTATTACACTAAGAGCTTCAAAATTAGGCTTTTCTAAATCTGTTATGGCATCTGTGTTTATGAACTAGAATTATTTTATAAAGAAGAACTTTTACTGACTATTTGGTTTCCCTGAAATATTGTTTAGATAGAAAAGGCAGGATAAATACTTGAAACTGGTCTTATTTACCAGTTTTCAGGCCTGGTCCTCTAATTTCCCCCAAAGGTGACCAAAAGGGCTTTATTTTCCTTTGAGTATCATTATGAACGCATGGATCGCAACGCATTTGTCATGTTTCAATTGTTTCGATGCGTTTCCGCCATTATTCTTTTGATGGTTGATTGTCGCACCTTGGCCAGTGAGAGTCCAGTCAGATTGACTCCAGAGTCTTTCTGACCTGATCCTAATATTTGTTGAGGATGCTCAAGGCTCATCTTGTATATTTCCTACTCCAGATCTGGGACCAACCATTTCTTTAAGGAGCACTGGTCCTTCTCATTGGAAAATGGCGTGTGTTTGCAGTTGAGGCTGTGTGGCATTCCAGTAACGCCGCTGTTTTCCCTCAGTGGAGCTATAGTGGGAACCTAGCCAGATTGAGGACTCTGTCATGTGTGCAGGGACCTTCCCCCAATGGAGCTGCTATTCTTTTTTTCCATCATCCTCTTTTATTTCTCTTTAGCTTGTAGTGTTGATTCACTTGTGGAAAAGCGCAGGGTACAGCTGTCCTGCTCTGTGTGGGCAAGGTCCTGGAACTTCTGCTTTGTTAATTCCCAAAAAGCCCTCCTGGCAGAGCTCTGCATCAGAACCGAGGCTGGCGTGTCCCTGGAGGCTGGCCTGGTGTGGATCCGTGGGACCCTGAAAGAGCATCTCATTACCACTCTGCTGCGAGGCCAGATCTCGTCCAAGTCAGAAAAAGCATTGCCTGGTGCTAATGTGTTCAAATCTCCGGAGCTAGAGAGACCATCTTTAAGCTATTTAGCAATATGCTACATTCAATAACAAAACGACTCTAGAGTCATTTAGAGAAAGCTAAATGAAGTGCAGTTTAGCAAGAAGTGTGAGAATTGATTTTAGGACATGGCTGCTTTTTGTGTGAAACCGTAACTTAACAAGAAAAGCACCAATGAGTTACAAGCGCTTCTGGCGTGCTGACAGGCACTTTCTTCCTGACCTGTTAGCTGTGCTGGGACCGGAGGAAAAGCGAGATACTCAAACCTCAATTTCAGCCTAAGGGCCGTGAGCTGGCTGGATTTATCTAGTCACCTGGAATTGGTTTTGTTCTTTTGTTTTTTTTAAAGAAAAAGTTTATTTGGAAAGTCACAGAGGTAGGGAAAGTGAGCCAGTTGGGTATGGGCTTAGGAATCAAGTTACTGAAGCAAAAGTAGGGCCCTGGGAGCTTAGGAAGAGAAAGGAAAAGGTAACACCCTGTGGGGGGAGAAGGGGGGAGGGAGAGCTGGCTTTTTTTTATGCTGGTACATACTTAAACAAGCAAGAAAGTTTGCTGACATTCTTTAATTCTACAAAAGCCTTCAGAATATCAAACCTATAATGTTAAGAAAAGGTGACATCTTGGGCAGTAATATTTAATCAACAGATTCTGCATTCTGAATGGGCTCCAGCCCAGCAATTTCATGTTTCAGTGGGTATTAGTGATTTTGTCATAAACACCATAGAGCCCAAGATGGCCTAGCCAGGGGAAGAGTTTTTTAAAACAAATACTTATTGCCAAAGTACTAAATATAGAGTAAATACTAATAGTTTTATTTTCAGATCAAGTGATAGTATCCAAGAAGCTTAGTTATGAGTATCTACTAGTTTTCAGATTTATCACTCCTCTAGGTAGTGTCTTGATTCATGTGTGTGTGTGTGTGTGTGTGTGTGTGTGTATGCACATGCATGCACTTTTTTACCCTGCACACATGACAAAAGTCCTTAATCTGGCCAGGTTCCCAAAACTGCAGAGGAGATCTGTGTTATTTTACAGTTCCTCTGGGTCAGCATTTTTAAGGACACATATCTTAGTGGTACTAAAATGCCAGCACCCATTCATTCTTTTCTTTCAGCTCCCACACATTTGTTTTGACCTTGAGGGTAGCCTCCCGTTCCCGGGGGCTGTCAGTACCAGTGTCAGACCTCCGTGTGACTGGGTCAGGATGCACACAGAATAAGTTAGGTGCATCACAGAGGGAAGGAAGTGATACTTCTAGAAAAGGCTGTGAATTTGAAATTTGATTTGCAGCTCTGAATGCTGGGACTACACACTTTACAACCTGTCCATGTCCCTTATCATACGGGGGAAAAAAACTAAGCATTGCTAAATAGGAGAGAAGAGCAACCTAGATTCCATTTTAATTTAAAATAATTGAGAGCGAGTCTAAAAGCAAGCTACATTGAAGTGAGTGGGGCAAGATAATAATTTCTTACATTGATTAATTTTTATAGTTTGCAAAGTGAATGCATGTCCTGTTTCATATTTGTAGACCAGACAGGTATTAGAATCATTTCATGGTTCTGAGACTGAGTGCAGAAGGGGCAAGTGACTCCTGAAAGAGCCAACATGAGAATGCAAATCTATAATTAAAAACCAACTTAAGGAACACTTACCATGTACCCGGTGCTGGAGATTCAGAGATGAATAGGACCAGTTTCTTACCCTTGAGGATTAACCTAGACATACGTGTACTCAGAGGCTCATGACTAGAGACATTTGTCCCCTCCCAGTGACAGATCTCCTACAACGCTACCCCTTCACCCTCCGTGAGGTAGTTTGACCTCAACCCCTTACTGCCAGGCCCTGCCCTGCTGCTATCTCTCAGTTGGTATTACTCTACCTTTACTCTTTATTTTGGAAATATATGCCAATTTATTGTGTTTTATTTTCTGGTTCTAGAATTTTCATTAATTTCTTTCTTGGTATTTTCTACTTTTTCATTTATTTCAATGAAATATTTTTCTTTACTTCGTTGAGCATCGTTGCAATACATCCTTTAAAATCCTTACCTGCCAATTTTAACATTTGGTTCATCTTGGGCTTGGTTTGCATGAGTTATCTTTTTTCTTAAGACTGGGTCACACTTTCTGATTTTTTTTGTAATATCAAGTGATTCTGGATTGTGTGCTAGACATTGTCATACTTTAAAGACTCTGAATTCTGTTTTATTCTCACAAAGAATTTTGGTGTTTAACTTTTACAGACAATTAATATCTTTGGACTCAAACTGTAGATGCTTCCTCATGAACAAAAAGCTCTAATAGCACCTAAGTTGTCTTATCTTTCCAACACGGTTCATCAAGAGTCATCCAAAGCCTGAGGCAGAAATTACATTGGAATTTAGGACTGCCCCTCTCTGGGAATCTCATCTCACTTTTCAGTTCCCATGGTTTCCCTGAACTCTGTCCTCTGGTTCATCAGGGTAGAAGGACTATGGGCTTCCTATCTGAGTCTTAGCCATCCTTTATGTCACTGACTTTGACCTTCTCTCAAGCTAAACACCAGTAAAAACAAGAAACCCAGTGGTGTCATCCTTTCAATATCATTCATTCCTCCCCTCCCAACATCACCCTGGGAATCTCAGTGCCTTTAGGTCATTGATTTCAGGAAGGAAGGGGTTTGTAATTTTATTCTAAGGGATGGTTGAGCCTGGTAGGACCTCACAGAGCCATAGCAGAAGCAGAACTATCTTTTTCTTTTTTTTTTCTTTTTTCAGAGAGGAAGGGAAAGAGAGAGAGAGAGAGCTAGAAACATCAATGATGAGTGAGAATCATTGATTGGCTGCCTCCTGCACGCCCCCTACTGGGGATCAAGCCCACAACCTGGTCTTGTAACCTGACGGGGAATTAAACTGTGACCTCCTGGTTCATAGGTCGACGCTCAACCACTGAGGCACACCAGCCAGGCCAGAACTATCTTTTATAGCATTATGCCTTTGTGTAAGTTTCTGTCTGCAGGAAGGTTCCACCCTGAAAAACAAGACCAAAAGTTTGAAAATCCACTATATTTATCCCATTTCAAGCCAGTTTTTAAATTTTCTAACATCAGTAATAGGTGACTTGCAAGGCCAGTCTTCGTTGTGAACACTGCCAATGTCGGAGACCCTGCCCTTTTCCCTCTAGGTATCTCTCCCCACTCCTCAGCTTCCCAAGACCAACAAAGGCTCTCTGTCTGACCCTCCTTAATGGCAGAATTTTAGCAAAGCTTCTTGGAAAGAAAAGCTGGTTGAATGCCAGCAGCTAAGTGTTGCATTTCTTTGATGAGCATTTAAAATGGATGATTTTGGTGGAAGAAAGTTATAAAAGGAGGAAACATGCAACTGAGCCTTTATTTTGACTTCTGGCTGATACTCAAAGAGCCTGGCTGGCCTGGCATCTGCCACAATGCATGTAGCATTCTGGAACTAAGCCAAGGAAGGCCATCTGCCTGGACCATCTGTTACTCCACTGACCTACTGAGGAAGGAGACAAGGAGATAACTGGGGTTCCTTGTGGTTATATTAGAAGATAACCCGAGTGACAGTGGTTTGGGCCCAGATAGGATGAAAGATTTGGGACGTTCTGTTGTGTAAACAAGCTAAAGATAGTAGAGGAAAACTACAGTCACATAGATAATGGTCATGGCAATTGGAGCCCTTGGTCCTACACTGAATTTGCCTGTCACTCCATAACCTTTAAGAAGTCTCCTTGCCCTTACTGGTTTGGCTCAGTGGATAGAGCGTCGGCCTGCGGACTGAAGGGTCCCAGGTTCGATTCTGGTCAAGGGCATGTACCTTGGTTGTGGGCACATCCCCAGTGGGGGGTGTGCAGGAGGCAGCTGATCGATGTTTCTAACTCTCTATCCCTCTCCCTTCCTCTCTGTAAAAAAAATCAATAAAATATATTTTTTTTAAAAAAAAGAAGTCTCCTCAATGTTTGATGTAATTTCCCATTGAGTGGGATAGGTTTCAAGGAGAAACTAAATGGAGAAAACGTAGACATGAAGGGATGTGGAGGTAGGAGAAGTCATATAGCCTGGAAATGATTCGTTTATGTAGATGGTGGCTACTATAGTATAGAAATCACTTTTTCCCTTCATGTCAGGTTCTCAGGCCAGATCTTGAACAGTGTATCATTCACCTCTGTTCCTCTGAGGAGCAGAGTTTTGAAAGTGTTCGCTTGTGTCAAAACATAATGTTTTTTGAGTTAGCTAATTCTCTGATAAAGTCTGCAGTCCATCTGTGCATCACCTGCTGTTTCCCACCCACTCTCCTCATAAGAAAACAAAAAGCAACAGTAAATGCACTCTTTATTTGTCTCGAGCCTTTTTAATTCATTCTCTTTTAAATTTTATTTAAAAAAATATTTTTCAGATTTAAAAGCAACAAATGCTACTGTGGTTCCCCGGTCATTTTTTCTCAGGAATTCTGAGGATAAATTTGAGCCTTTCCCATTGGATGATGACGATGAGGACAAAAATGGAAGTGGGTTAATTGAAGACAGATTAAGCTCCATCAATCACAGCAGGCCTCTTCAAAAACCACCCCCTGCGTTCATCTCAAAAGATGCCTTGGGATATCTGACCAGCACCTGGTTGACTCTCTTTATCCCCTCCGTCTACACTGGCGTGTGTATAATCAGCCTTCCTCTAAACATCATGGCCATCGTTGTGTTCATCGTGAAAATGAAGGTCAAGAAGCCTGCCGTGGTGTACATGCTGCACCTGGCCACGGCAGATGTGCTCTTCGTGTCTGTGCTCCCGTTTAAGATCAGCTATTACTTTTCCGGAAGTGATTGGAAATTTGGGTCTGAAATGTGTCGCTTCGTCACCGCAGCATTTTACTGTAACATGTATGCTTCCATCATGCTCATGACAGTCATCAGCATCGACCGGTTTCTGGCCGTGGTGTATCCCATGGAGTCCCTCTCCTGGCGTACCATGGGGAGGGCGTCCTTCACCTGTATGGTCATCTGGGCTATGGCCATCGCGGGGGTGGTGCCACTTCTCCTCAAGGAGCAAACCACCCAGGTGCCCGGGCTCAACATAACCACCTGCCATGACGTGCTCAATGAAACCCTGCTCGAAGGCTTTTACGCGTATTACTTCTCGGCCTTCTCTGCTGTCTTCTTTTTTGTGCCGTTGATCATTTCCACGGTCTGTTATGTGTCTATCATCCAGTGTCTGAGCTCTTCCACGGTCGCCACCCAGAGCAAGAAGACCCGGGCTTTGTTCTTGTCCGCGGCTGTTTTCTGCATCTTCATCGTTTGCTTTGGACCCACAAACGTCCTCCTGATTCTGCATTACGCGTTCCTCTCGCAGAATCCCAGCACAGAGGCTGCCTACTTTGCCTACCTCCTCTGTGTCTGTGTCAGCAGCATAAGCTGTTGCATCGATCCCTTGATTTACTATTATGCTTCCTCTGAGTGCCAGAGGTACCTCTACAGTATCTTCTGCTGCAAAGAAAGTTCTGATCCCAGTAGCAGCAGCGGTCAGCTGATGGCAAGTAAAGTGGACACCTGCTCTACTAACCTGAATAACAGCATATACAAAAAACTGCTAACTTAGGAAAGGGGCTGCTGGAAGATTACAAAGAAATATTTGAAAAAGCAAAGAACCTGAGGATTCTATTAGTCCCTGCCAAAAAAATAGTATTTACTCTTTTAAACAATAAATGTGTGATTTGCATGCCTCCTTCTTGAGAGGGCCATTAAGGGTATATATTTGTTAGTAACAGAAAAGGATAACATGAATAGAAAACAATGTTATTCCAAGACAGTATTGCAGTGCTACAATAATAACTGAATATTACTTTTTGATATATTTAGGTGACTTACATATATGTGTGTATATATGTATAGTACACAGGCTTGCAATGCAGTATAGAACAGACACTTTGAAACCCTCTTTTTTCCCCCAAGAGATTATGAAAATAAACTCCAATTTAATATGCAAGGTCTAGGTTGGCGGAGGTTAGCCCAGAGCATCTGAAGATGTCCATCAATAGTGAAGGATTCTGTAGTTTGGACTTACACGGCTTTTGCAAATAAGTTTATTTTGAAATTGGTCAACAGCTTTAAGTTATTAAGAGAGAAAAGTGCTATCTATGTGTAGAAAAAATTCTACTGTTTTTCATTTTAACCATATCAAAGTTTGAATTCTTTAAATTATGGAAACATGATATGGGTAGCATTTTTTAAAAATATATGTTTTTATTGATTTCAGAGAGGAAGGGAGAGGGAGATAGAAATATCAAAGATGAGAGAGAATCATTGATTGGCTGCCTCCTGCACGCCCCCTACTGGGGATCAAGCCGGCAACCCAGGCATGTGCCCTTGACCAGAAGCGAACCTGGGACCCTTCAGTCCACAGGCTGACGCTCTATCCACTGAGCCAAACTAGCTAGGGCTGGGTAGCATTTTTGATGTTTTACACATTGTATACATAAACCAAGAATGAGCATAGGCCCCACTAGTGACCTGAGGTTGGCCCCGGATAGAGGGCTCCAAGCAGTACATACTAGGCAGGGTCGCTCCAGACCCTGCAGCTGAGCCTCCCAGAGAGTGAGGGATCCAGGACCACCACATTCACTCTCCTGGCGTCCCCTCAGGGGTTGGCTATGAATGACCGAGTTTAGTAGAAATTGGCAGAATAAGATGTGCTATCCCAGGAGATAATGAATATGAAACACTTCTCTGCCCAGTCCTTTTAAGAACAGAAAGAAGGCACGTCACTTCTGGCAGTTACCCTGCAAGGTCCATTCTCAGATGGAGGCACCCATGCAGCAAACATGACCACCCATTATGTGCTCTGGGCACTCTGATGGGCGCTAGGCAATAGAGGTGAATAAGACTAGGTCCTCCCCTCAAGAACAAAGCAGACCAGACATAGAGTGTGATGTGTATATAATAAGTATGTCGTTATATAAAGAAGTGTTTTTAGCCAGATGTCATCCAACCAGTTCCACACAGCCTGTCAGTTGAAAAACTTTGAACATTTGGATTACTTGTTCAAAGTTTTGGATTACTGCTACAAGTGGTCATAACTTGAGATTAAAACACAATACAATACAGGAAGTGTATTTTTGTAAATAAGTCCTTCAGTCTATATACATGGACACTGTTTATTTACAAATGTTTTTAATAAATTACCCAAACCAGGTTTTAAAAAAGAATTATGTCAGTCTGATTAGAAATAACTGAAGAAAATTAAATTGACTTTCAGTTCTAGCAAAATTATTCTATATTTTCTATTCACTTTTCTTAATAGTTAGTGAGATTATTTTAAAAGCATTTTTTAGCCCCATATTGAGTATCAAGTATAGAAAATCCTCATGGGTTTGACAAAATAATTTGAAAATTAAGTTGAAATGTATCTTTTTTTCCGTATGAAAAAAAAATGTTGGCATCTTAAATCAAAAAATGGAAAGTTCCAAGGCAAATGCTTATTGAAAAGAACAAACTATTTCCAAATGCCATAGAATAATTTACATTAAAGTGTATTGTAAGTAGAAGCTAACATTGATTTTATTAATTTTGTTGCTATATTCATTTTATCTAACTCAGTGGAGATTTACTGTCATTGTTTATTCAGTCTGTATATACATATTAAAATTCCTCTGACTTAATGTGACCATCACTATTTTATTATCAGTCTGTACTTATAAAATATTATGTCACTGTTTTTATGTTCTCTCTTTTTAAAAAATATGTGTAACCTGTATTAATAAACACAAAAGTTTGCTTGGTACCTGTTTGGAACAAATTTTTATTGGTATCTTTCAGGGCCCTGACAGGAAGACCAGTGTAAAGGTTTAGCTGAAGAGCGTTTAACGAAGAGGTGATTTGCAGAGGTATGGACTGGGCTAAGTCACCAACAGGGGTTAGTGAAGCTCCTCAGGGACTAGCAGTTGGGGAAGCTGTTACCAGCCCAGGACCACAGGTGGAGGATGGAATACCCTGACTCCCATTCTCTGATTTTTCACTGGTGCCTCCTATTGCTCCTGATCTTAACCCAAACCCAGAGGTCAAGAGAACCTGGGTGATGTAGTCCATAAAGGACCATGGAGAAGGGATGGGGGTGGGGGAGCACAATTTCTACTGAAGGCATTGGGTGGTTCGGTTTCTGGGTCTTTTTTTTAATCCCTTCTTGGGAAAATTCAAGGTTATATCACTGATAATATGTTCAGGTTCTTAGGTTACAGGGACAGAGGATAGAGTCTACAGTTCCTTCTTAGAGAGAAACAAATATCAGAGCCAGGATGATATATTGAGACCCAAAAAAGGGATGTCCTTGAGTCACAATCCTTTGCCATCAACACTCTCTGGGGTACAGGGAAGGAGGGGAAACCTTAAGCAAAATGAGAGTTGAAAATCAATAAAACTTCTGATAATGTATTTCTAGATTCATCATAGTCAACAAGAAAATTATTTCAACTAAATAAGAGTTCTGGGAACACAGAAATTTTAAGTTAACACACACTCGTAGGTTTCTGGGGCCTGGGCCCCACACATGCTTCAGGAGTAGATATATTGAAGGAAGTCGCCCAGCTTCACTGAAACAGAATCCCCACTCTAAGCAGAAAGGGACCTTTAAACTCTTCTGTTGTTAGTTTTCAAAATATGTTTGAATTCAAAAAAACACACTTGGATTTTGTTAACACAAAAATGTTTTGTTTTTCCCACCAAGTCAAAAATAGGACTTTTAAGGAAATGGAATATTTGGTTGTTGACTATATAAAGTGGAAAATTTTAGGTTATACTTCTGAATTTAAGAAATTAAGAAAAATGTTGGCATGTCCTTCAGGAAGTCTGAGTTCCAGAAACAAGTGGAAAAAGTTAAGCAGTGTGTGTGACCAAGCTTTTTAATTTTCTGAGGCCTGCACCCTCCACTAGTAGCTTATCTCCACCTAGATGTCAGAGTAAAAATGAAGGGAGAACACAGTCACCAACAGTAAGTTCCTGGCAGATTGGCATAGCTGTGTGGCTGTTCCTTTCAAAATTATGGGGCCTAGGAATCAACCTAATTGTGTTTTATGAAGGAGTTGCAGTTAAGTAAGCTGCAGTCTGAGCTGCGTGGAGCAGTGTTCCAATGCAATGGTGTTTGGAGTCCTGGAGACCCTTTCAGGACACATACAAGGTCAAAACTACATTAAAACACTGAGACATTATCTGTCCTTTTTTGGTCTGATTCTCTTGCGAGTATACTGTTGAGTTTTCCAGAGGCTACAAGATACCTGATAGTGTGACAGATTGAATAATGAAGCGGGTATAAAAATCAGACTGTCTCCTATTCAGCTAGCCATTAAAGAGATTTGCAGAAATATAAAACAGAGCAGCTCTTCTCATTAAATTATTGCTTGGGGGAGAAAATACTTTTGCAGAAAATACTTTTGCAGAAAATATTTTTGTTAACATGTAATGGGTTTATTGTTATTTTTAAGTAAAAGAAATCTTTTCCCAAGTTCTTTATTTTAATGTGGTAACTATTGGTAGATATAATCAGTGGTTTGCTGTTAAATCTGATCTCCAAAAAAAGCCCCTAATTTTTAGCATTTGCCAGTTTCCATGATGTATATATACTCTCTCTAGTGCCAATTTTAAGCTTCCAGTGGTTTAACAGTTGGCCTGAAAATTCCTTTAATTCTCATGAGCTGGTACAGCCCCTCGATATAATCTACACACATGAAAACGTTTGGGGGTTTTAAATTATTTTTAATATTAAGGTGACCTGAGCTAAAAATGTTTTAGAACCCTGCTCTTATGTGAGATTTCCTGATGACATCACTTTCAAGAAGACATGGAAACTGGTCACAATTATAAAGCACAGAAGGGGTGGCCAGTTGGCTCACTGCTGCAGGCCCCCACATTGGGTTCTGTCAGCCCCACAGCTGAGGGGTCAGTAACTTGCAGCAACAGAAACTGATTCAAGGCAATGGGGCCTGTGTGGCTGGTGTGGCCCGAGGTTGGAAAGCTGTGTGTGAGGCCTGGTCTCCATCCAGCTGCTGTGCACCACCATGTGCATCATATAAGGTGAGCATCAGGCTCCACGCTTCTTGCCCTGAGGACTGTGGTGACTGCCTGCTGCTCTTCTAAAGACAGAGAAAACCAGAGGTCAGAGTCAGCAACATCTTAGAATTCAGATAGCACAGTACTTTTCTACCCAGCTCTGTGTGTTCATCACTTCAGGAAATGACTCATAAGCCCCAAGGAGATGAGCTTTGAAAGCTGCATTTATAGTAGCTGGAGACACCGGGCGGTGGCAGGGCCTGTTGGCCGTTTTGTCCCTCTTAATAACCACAAAATTGGGCACGTTAGTGTGCTGCTCTGTGACCCACCCAGGGGAATGAGAACATGACCCGAGGTGGGGTTACCAATAAGAAGATGCATGTAAGGGCAGGTTCTCAATCGTTTTTGCGTTTTTGCGTTGTGTTTTCTTATCCCGAGGTACTTAGCTGCTCTTGAAACTGACCAACATGATGTCAAGACAAACAAACATTTTTTTAAAATAGATCCCTGTCCTCCAGGAGCTAACTAGTTTTTTTCATTTAATTATACAATAGTTAAGAAGCATGGAATTTGAAGACCTCGATTTTAGAGTTTTATCAACTCTGCCTCGTTGCAAGTTTTAGAAGCTTTGTAAGTCACTGCTCATGCCTGGCTGCACGTAGAGCTTCTAAACAATTCCAGTGCCCAGTCCTTCTGACCAATAGGAATCGGAGTCTTTGGGGGCAGAGCCTGGGGGTGTTGTTTACAAGCTCCTCCAGCGATGTGTAAGCCAGAGTAGATACCTACCACTGCTTCAGGAGAGTGCTTCTCAAATGTAACATGCATTCGTATTATCTGGGGATCTTGTTCATCTGCAGACTAACAGTAGCAGTGTCTGGGGTGGGGTCTGCATGTCTAACAAATTCCCAGACGATGTTGACATAGCGATTCCTTGGGTCACAATTTGGTGTAGGAGGGCCCTAAAATATAGCCCTGAGGCAAAATATAGCCCTCGCCAGGTTGGAGGTCTAAGCACTGAGAAAATTCATCTTTCCTATCTTTAAAGTCATCTTCTGAGACAATTTTTAAAATTTTGATAAAATTGGGGCAATTTTAATGTAGCAGTAATATAGGTGCTTATTCAAAGTTTGTTTTAGGTGGTATATACTTTGCTCTATACTTTCTCCCCTCTTCGGTTCTTTTCTAGGGGGAAAGGTAGCTTAAAAGGTTCTAATCTCATACATAAAACCATTACCAAAGAGGCTGGGGGTTTACAGTGGCAACTCCACTCCAGTTTGTAGAGATAGTGCCTGGCAGATAGCAGCAGTGCCTGGTTACCAGAAAGCACACGTGGATATAGTCTCGTCTCTGGGTTTAGCTGAAAAACCATGACCACAGGAACATGCAGGGGGTGGAAGTCCAGTCTGCCTGGTGCTAGAATGAGTGGCTTCTGTTTTTAAGTTGTATGTTTGACTTTTAAAAACTTCAGTTGACATAGAGATATCGGTCAGGTATTGCTAAACAACAAACCACACAAAGCCCAGAGGCATGTAATAATGAGCACTGTTGCTTGTGCTCTGAGGTTTTGCTGGCGTATCTGGGAAGCTCATCACTGATTTAGGAAGGCCTCCACTTGGCTGTGCTCTGTAGGTCTCTCATCTTCAACACGCTAACCCTGGCACATTCTCCGGGCAATGGCAGAGGAGCAAGAGGGGAGGGAAAACAAGCAGGACGTCCTGAGGTCTAGGATTAGAAGTGGCACATCCTCACTATAGTCACATCCCATTGGCCAAAGCAAGACCCAAGGCCATCCCAGATTCAAGGGGATGGAGAAGTAGACACTGCCTCTTTAGTGAAAGGAATTTTGAAGTCACCTGGCAAAGGCGTGGCTACAGGGAGTGAAGAACAATCGAGGCCATCACTGAACTCTACTGAACATAATGTCTGTAAACGTTATAATAATGATCCTTAAAGGAATGCCTTAGCATCCAAGCATTGCACTTGTTTAACACACAGCCGTGATTTCTGAAGCTCTTGCAGTTGTTTAGTTTTTAATATCAACGGAAGGATTTTTAAGAACATCTCAAGACCTGGGTCCTAGATCAGGTCAGGCAGCACATGCCTTAACACTGTCATATGTGAAAAGAGGGAAAGATGAGAACTGACCCGAGGGCAATATTTGAATAAACGTGATGAGGCCTCCAGCCAAAGAAGAGAGGCATTTTAATTAAAGATTTGCTCCTAGCCATGCCGGTGTGGCTCGGTTGGTTGGGCATCATATTGTATACACCAAAACGTTGCCAGTTTGATTCCTGGTCAGGACTCCTGCCCAGTTGTGGGCTCGATCCCCAGTAGGGGGCATGCAGGAGGCAGCTGATTGATGATGTTCCTCTCTCATCATTGATGTTTCTATATATCTCTCTCTCCTTCCCTTCCCTCTCTGTCTAAAAGAAAAAAAATCAGTTAAAAAATATTTTAAAAAATAGACTTAGACCCTGTCCGGGTAGCTGTTAGTTAGAGCATCATCCCATTATGCCAAGGTTGCAGGTTTGATCCCTGGTCAGGGCACATATGAGAATCAACCAGTGAATGTACAAATATGTGGAACAACAATTGATGTTTCTCTCTCATCCTCTCTCTAAAATAAACACATTTTCTTAACTTAAAAAAAATATTTGCTCTTAAATATCTGATTTCCTCTGACAAGGGTGCTGATGTACTTACAAGCCACTTGGGGAAAGTCGTTTGATCCAGTCCAGTTTT